ATTTCACCTTCGTTCTGAAAACTGGTCTTTATTAAGCGTTTCGGTGTCTCAACAACGAACATGGACAAAGAAGATATCGTCTATATGTTCCTAGTTCAACTCTCACTGTGATAACTCAGAATATCTCAGATAGTGTGGTCAAAAATACAGTCGCAGACAGTTGGGATTCATTAGACATGAGGTTGAGGTTTTTCTGACGGATTGAGTACGTTAAATAGGAAATGTTGATAAGAATAAATTCACAAAACGTCAGATGAGTTTTGAGTTTCAAAAAGGTGCACTCATATGTTTTGAACAAAAATTCTGTAGGTGAACTTTGAATTGAAGGCTTATATTGTTATAGATATTCCTAGGAAAATATTAATAATGTTTTATGCTATTAATCTTTAAATTACATTTTCCTACTGAAAGCATATTCATCAGTATATGAAGAATGAGTTGATTTTCTCAACAGAATAAATGTTCATTTTTCATTCTACTTGCTTTTGTTGAGAGAAGTAGACAGACTATTACATTTGTATGTTTTCAAGTTGCATTCAAAGTGATAGGTAAATGAAGAAAATGTATCAGTTAGTTCATTACAGTACACTCTATAAACCTCTGACTGTCGAATCCTTTTGAAAAGTAATTGATCTAGGGCAAAGTTGTATCAAACCACTTAAAACAATGTGAGTGGTGTTATTGTATCTTCTAGGGTATTGAAACTATTTGTTTACAGACAGGTATTGTGTGTTTAAAAGAAGTACATACAAATTCTATCGTTGATTTACTTGTGATAAACAGTTTAGCATTCATTTCATTTTAGATGCTTCCTTCATCAAACAGTTACAGTCAGTTTCTGATCTTCCATTTAGCTTCTTTCAGTGTATATTGTTTGAATCAAGTATTATTTTCCTACGTGTTTATTCTTATCAACTGTACAAAGTTTATGTGACATCACTTAATACCTAGATTAGAAAATTCCTTCATTATTCATCTAAAATCCTATGAAAGCTGTTTGACACTTTTGATGTACTAACAAATGTTTTTTAAAGAATCAAAGTGAATCAAGGGTTACATTCAATAAAAAACTATGCTGAGGAAGTTGTGGGGATTTGGAAATATTTCAAGTTGTTATTCATTGTAGACTGACATCAGTTGGAGGAACGATGGAAACCGGGCAGCGCTGGACAGGTGTTTCGTCCTAGTATGGGACTCCTCAGCAATGCGCACCCACAACCTTCAGGTTCCGTGACAAGCACGTTACCATCGAGCCACCGGGTCAAAATCCAATGATCCATATTTCCAACTTTTGTCAGTTCATGACATAGCACAACCGCTAACAATGTCATCGTTGAGTAACTGTCTTCATGACCATCAAGCTAGCCCCACTGGTCACGACTTCTCATTGGAACTTCTAGAATCACCTCTCGAAGCTGGTCACCAATGCGCACCAGTTCAATTGAATTTTGAGGGAGTTGTGGGGATTTGGAAGTATTTCAAGTTGTTATTCCTCGTAGGCTAATTCGCTAGTCACAGAACCTGAAGGTCGCGGGTTCGATCCCAGGTGGGGTCGAGGGTGCGCATTGCTGAGGAGTCCCATACTAGGACGAAACAGCTGTTCAGTGCCTCTAGGTTTCCATTGTTCCTCCAACTGGCGTCAGTCTATGATGGATAACAACTTGAAAAAACTATATCTCAAAAAATTTTTAAGAAATTCAGTGAGATGCATAATCTTAAAAATCTTTTGCTTGGTTTTACTGCTAAAGTTTGCGTCTAATCAAAGCAAGAAAATTACTTTACAGTCGTACGAAGTAAACTAAAATAATATCATACTTTATTCCAATGACTGCATGAAAACAGTTAAGCCGGAAATTTAAGGCAAGGAAAGCAGGTATACCATAACTAGTAATCTACTAAAGAAAAAAAGGTTATAGCTGTCTGTGGAAAATACCTGAACCAAACATCTCAACAGCTATAACATAAAGTGGTCCATGTCACATGTGTAACAGACCTTTTAATACAGCTATTTCCCAGTAGCTATCCAAACTATTCGTTTATTATTCATGCGTTTTAAACGCATCATTAAATTTGTATTGAATAGTTCTGTCACAATGTCGAACTGATGGTCTATATATCTGTCAAAATTAGTGTTTTCAACTTCATAGATCAAACGAATAACAGAAATTATGAAGCCGTTCTGTCGGTTGTGTTAAGATGTAACATTATCAAGCTTTTTCTCATGAATAAAAATATGCCGATATCAAATTACTGGTAGTACAAGATCAAGAAGATTGAGTTTAGAATTGTTATACCTTCAGGCTACACGGAATTTTCTCAGCCATTCAAAATAGAATGTTTCAAAAAGACTATTTAGTAATTTTCTGATGTGGACATCTATTAAGCACAATGACCATATGTCAAGGCTTCTAAAATTATTAGCACTAAACCATTTTTTTTCAAGTACCTCAATAAAAAGTCCGCTGATGATAGAATACTAATCTATATGTCTTCTGTAGCACAGATATTATTTTTATCTCTAGCTATTTTCCTCACTGATCTCTAAACTTTACTAATTTGTGTCCTAGTACAACTTATATACTTTGAGCTGGTACTCCTCATGAAGCGACTTTAGTTGCGAAACTACTGAAAACGTGGGTGTGTTGGATAGTGGTTACATCCTACTATGCGACTACATAGTAACCCCCACCCATAACCTAGACTTTGACTAGTTCCAAAACCCTCAGGTTTCGCAACAATTAAGTTACCGTTGAATCACCAGATCGGAACCTAATGGTCCAAATGTTCTTAGTTCTATCAGTCCACAACATAGCGTGGCCTTCATCAATTGTCATCGTTGCATAACCCTTCCCTTCCGAAATGGTTTTCCCCATAGGTCAGGACTTCTCATTAGAACTTCGAAAAGTTTTATCTCGAAGCAATTCACCAATGCCCACTGAAAAGCAGTTCCCTTTGGGGTTTTAAGGGGTTTACTGGTTTCTATTCGGTATTCATCACGGACTAACAGAGGTAGGAAAATGCTGTCCATTGTTTTCGACCATGCGACTCGAATACAAACTATTCGTCGCTAAAAATGAATGTCCTGAGTTCGTTACCTGGTCGCACTACTGAAGATTCCAATAATGGGATGAAACAGCTGTTCAATGCCTTCAGGTTTTCAATGGTCCCCCAAGGAATATCTTTCCGTGATGAATACTAATAAGACCCCGGATACCCCCGATTTGAATCAATTTCTATATTTCCTCAATCTTAATGCGTTCAACATTATATTCATATTTATTGCCCAATGTTAATGAAGGTTATTAAGCATCATTTCCAATTTAACTTTATGAATTTCAAACTTTTGCTCAATATCGCACACGAAAACTGTTTCCGGTAATTATATCTGTAGACAGATATGTCGTGCCATTTTGATGTTTTTTTAAATCATGTACTTCAAACCTAATTACAGTTGTTTACCTGACCTCATCTAGTTAGTGTGACTAATTTCTCATATTTAGGCTGTTTTTAAGAACCCTACGCCTGGTTTTAGTTGCTTTGCACGTTATGTTGTCTTTCTATATTCTAGACAACCGTCCACGGTCTGTTGTATACCGCGGTTCGACTAAACGGCATAGTGAAAAGTTGTAGTTTATATACATATATATACGCACATATATATGCATATATAAACCTGGGGATGGAACGTCCTATCTGGGTTCTGAAAGTCTCATTTTTGACCGTAGGCGAAGCGACAACATTAGTTGATCTCCTGACCATCAACTTCAACGAAACAAGGGGATAGGCAATGCTTGCCGATGATAATCAAAAAATTGCTTTGAGTTTAGCAAATGTGTTTACACCTAAACTAAAGCATATGAATTCCGACAGAGAAAAAGTACTGGGTTCAGCTTTAACTAATAATGAATGGAGACTAAACGAAGTAATTTTTTAAATGGTTGTAAAATATTGTAATTTACCTCCATCCCGAAAAAGCTTCATTTCTTCTTCAGTCTTTGATAAAAGCAGTAATCAAAAATTGTTACTGTCCTATGGATGACGTGTAGTAAAAGTCAGCACATTTTAGTGACTGTGTTTGAACTAATCAAAGAAAAATTACCACCGGTTTTCTTTAGGCAAAATGCGAATCGGAAGCAGCGTTAATTCAGGCAGATATATGCAATCTACCAAATAGCTATCCTTGCTGATCGATATCAAGATCATAGAAGATGTAGAAAGTAGTCGCAACAAGTAGTTTAAAATAGCCGTTTAAACATATTCAAAACCGTATGAAGAGGTTGGCGATTAGTAAGACTATCTTCAGGACAAAAAGAAAAGTACTTCTATCCAGAAAGGAGGTAACATGAATGTAGGTTGGTGAGTTTCTAGACATAATTTCAATGGCCATCGTTGTAATTGTATTAGCTTGATAAAAAGTCAGGAATGTTTGTGTGATATCCACAGTGAAGTTGACCGAATCAACATACTTTCAAACACTGAGAGATGAATAGTTATTCGACTTCTCTTAGGACCCCAAAAAAACAGAAAACTCAACCAGTCATTTTTCGGATAGATATTCAGTGATGGATTACTTAGATACTTTGACGCAAAACTGTACTTCTTGATACTTAGCTGTTATTACACATTTTAATCAGAATGCTATTTATCCTGTCTATGTATACGCGTTCTTAAAACCAACTTGCACATCAATCGCGTTTTTTGTAAGCTACAAGACAAGATGCTTCTAAATATAAACCGTAAAGAATATTGTCAATGCATCCATTTTGTGTACTATTAGTGAAACATCTCTGAAAAATGTGCAAACACAAAGAAAAAATTAGCGATAACTTTCTTTAACGTAACCAATGGAATGTTGCAAGGTAATTAGGTTCTTATTTCATATAGTTTAAAATGCCATTTAAAACAAAAGATGTATTCTGTTAATCTGCAAGCAGGAAAGAGTATAAACATTAAAATATTGAGGTAGAATAAAGGAAACAAAATTTATTTTACCAACATGGCACTTGTTTTATTAAGAATAAAGCATGAAGATTCTCTGAAAACTATGAGGATAGTGTTCACATTTCTCCCACAACTGGTAGTCTTTGCACGATAACAAAAAGAATAATAGTAATTTAGAGGTAACTTCTTTTAAAAACTTTCAGAAGGAAACAAAATTAAGTTGAATTAAAACAAAATGTGAATATATTTAACACTGAACACAGTTTATCTGTATAACTTACCCATACATTTATTGATAATAGTAAAAGTAGGTAAATTATGGTAGATTGATTGTTTCATTATTATTCACATCAAATAGTAAATAACCAGAGAATGTAGAGTACATATAACCATGCAAAAAATAAGCACCATCACGTATAGCTAACCATGCACGGTCACCTTTATACATTTGTAGAATGCCTTGATTTGTAGCTGTCGCCCAAGGTGAACTTTCAGACCAAACATCAAATATTTGCTTATCATTGTGCATTAAACGTACAACTGCCTGTATGTGTGTGATATTTCAATGAAAATGGTATATAGAAATAGTGAGAGTATTAAGTAGTAAATTATTGCCAGATATGTTTAGTTTACTCAAAACTATTACTATTTAATGCATTTCACACAAAAGATTGATGACTGAAAATTAGTTTTAGGAGTCCGAGCTAACCTCACTGGTATTGTTACCTACGAACAGAAATCTACTTTTCTGCTAGTGATATGAAGACCTGATGAAAATAGAATGGAAGATGTAATTAGGCTTCAGACAGACCTCAGCAACTTCCTAATCTACTCAGAAAGTAGTTGATGCCAATCAGCACGAACAAATATCTAGCCATGCGTACAGAAAGTCCAAGCTGGAGTAAATGAGATATTGAAGGAATCTTTCTGTTCCTACCTTCAATCCTCAATATCCTAAAAATTACGCTAAGACATAACTCAAATATTGCGTCATATTGTGATTTTCATTTAGTTGTGTGTTTCATAACACTTAGTATGACCCTCAGAAATTTAGCGAAACTCATATGTGGTGTATTTCCCACTCAAAATGAAGGTTTACCTCAATTTTAGCTTAAGACTTGAACGAAACCATTAATCTGATGTCTGGAAGAAGACTCAGCTATCCTGGAAAGAGTCTAGAAGAGCAGCATGCATTAAATGAGATGCCTGCTGTGGTCGGCAAGAAGTTAATCTCAGTTAAAAATCTTACGGTTTTCATGCCACGTCACATCACTACACTAAGGGATAATTCAAAGTCCATTCATAGATTTATCAGTGATAACTTTGGATCACTGTATTTTATTCCCAATACATCTGAGTAATTCGTCAGATATTGTGGAGGAGTCAATAAGTCAACGATGAACTTAATCGCCGTTTAGTACTGATTTCATCATTCTTTCGATAAAATCTTAGAACCTGCTATCGGAAAACTTTTTCGAATGAGTAATGTTTCTAAGGGGTCAGATGAGAGATAACTGTATTCTGTCATGAAATTTGTCTCTACACCTGATAATCCCTTGGATATTAATTTAAAGCAAGACCTTTCTACACAGTTCATTTCCCCAAAATTCTGTTGTAAAAACACTAAGTGCAACCAAGTTCTGACGACAAATTTTTTCCCATTTTAAAGTAGGAATAATTCAAGTGAACATGATAGTTCTGGAAGAATGATAATTTTCATTTTTTAAAAGTTATGTTCCTCAGAGTAGTCATGAAAAAGCAGTAATCTAAAATAAAGTGACTGGTCCCTTTGATGAATTTAACCACTGTAATAAGAAGATGGAGATTATCAAAAAACATATGATGTATTAGCACTATACATTTCGAACAATCTGATCACACATTGACTTCTCGAACTATTTATATGAAAACATGGTGGCTGTTCATTCTAATAGATGCATTGCATGAAACCTTGTTTCACAACTTCACCTCAGTATTTCGAGATGCAGTAGTTTTTTTAACTCTACCTACGGCTCAGTGATTAGTGTGGGCCATTCCCTTTTTCAAAAAAAGGTGAAAATGATTTATATTTTAGAAGGCATGTAATTTGATGTCACTAAAAATACATGTCAGTAACAAAGCGAAATATACAACACTTGAAGTGGTCCTTTTTCAGCTATGTATATATTCATTTACATATACTTGAAGTTGCTTAGAAACCTTCATTTGTTTTCTTCGATAACGTAAATTACAATTTACACCTTAACAGTTTTTTTCGACTGTACTATGCATTCCCAAAAGGTGCAATAATTTTATCATTTTTCTTTTGTTTAAAATATGATACTACTGAAATTAAAAGGTAAGTAGTCTAAAAATATATTACATTTGTTTTGGTTCTGGTTGTAAGCAGAATCTAAAAATGTTTTATTCCACTTAGATTTTTGTCAGCTGAATGCAGATGCACACTTTGGTGAGATTCAAGTTTAAAAATAGCATGTTTATAAATACAGGCTATTCACAGTAGTTTTGTTTAACAGGGCTTCCTAATAATCCCGTATTTGCTGAGATTGCGCATAACTCATGGTAATATTCCTCATAGATTGACATCACTTGGAGATCCATTGAGAACCTGGAAGTACTGGACAGCTACTTCGTCCTAGTATAGGAGTTCTTAGCAGTACCTACACATGATCCCCTCAGGGATATAAATCAGGAGGATCGCTCTATAGCGCGAATTGACAGATGTAAAGAACTGTGGACCATTGAATTTCAACCCAGTGGTTGAGTGGCAGCGCAATCGCCACGCAACCTGAAGGTCCTGAGTCTGATTACTAACAGGGTTATATTCATGTACTGATTTGAGTCCCCACACTAGGATGGAACGGTTATCCATTATCTCCAGGTTATCAGTTTCTTCTTCAATTTGTGTCAGTCAGTGATCAATACTACTTTGAAATGAATAAATTCCCATGAAACCTAAACTAAGTAGCCGATAGCTGCTAGTTAAAACGTCCCTTTCTCTAGTTGAGTATGATGCGTATTTTTATATTATCAGACATTACAAAACCCGGACTCTTTTTTAATTCTGATGCCGAGAACGATGTTGCTGCAACTGTCGGTTAAGTTCTAAGTGGAATGAAACCAATATCTGAGATATCACTGTTAGTTGCAATTAAAATAGAATACAATAGCAACACAATAAAGACTGGGACATTTTCACGATCAGCTGGTCTTGTTGTGAAAAACATTCATTTTCAGTAACTGAATGATTTATTAACGTTATAGATTATTCACTTAAGTAAAGACTTTATCACAAGTATTTCATAAAATTTATCCAGCCCCCCCAACTCGATGATTATTCTAAACCATCAATTCTACTGTAAATCTGGTAGACTAGTATTTGGAACTTAATAAAAAAAGTCGTGAAAAGTTTTTCACAATACTACTGAGCAAAACATTTTTTTGTAACTAAAGTCATAACAGTAATCTAAAATATAAACTTTTGCAATACAACTTAGGTGACTATGATTACTAACACTGAAATCTACGCTTAGATACTCAATGAAAAGTAAAGAAGGGTTGTCTTTCGGACCTAAAAAATTAATAATGCGTTATAAAAGGAAAAACAATTTCACAAAGTCATAAAGAAGCACTACAATTATGGGTAGTGTTAACGACAGTTGAGGGTATAATTATCTACAATCACTCAAACTTATGTGAGTTTTTTCAACTACATCTGTGAATAAAAAGAACCATTTGTCAATAATTCACAAGATGCATTATCCGTTTGCTGTATTTTCTACTTCTTAGTTCTTATTTACTAACCGATTGCAGTATGATTAAGGTTTCATTTGAAAACCATTCCAGTAATCAAATGAGAGAGGATCTAGTCTAAAAGGAGCTAACTTATGAATTAAATGATGACTTAAAACCATCGACAGAAAATATTTTGAGTAAGACGAGTTTGTAATTTTCTGATTTTTAACCTTCCAAAACGGATAACAAATAAATTCACGCTATAACATGAGGGGAAGGATTTTCTCATTTTACATTTCTTGCCATATATAGTCTTCACAAGATTTCAGACTGTCTATTAATACCTAATAACTCGTATAACTAAAAACATCATCGAAAAAACTTTATCATTTACCCTTGATTTCCCTTGAGCTGAAATGGCTAAGAATAAGATGTATACACCATTAACTGGTGCAGTGAATTCACCTGTCACTGCATTGTATGCATTTCCCAAATTTGTAATCACTTTATTCATAATCAATTTTGGATTTTCTTCCAATGGCTTTTCAATGACGTTAAACTCGAGACCAACAAAAAATGCAATTCTATATTGCACTGACTGTAACTGTGTATTCAATTTACCCAATTGTAATTTGGTTAGATTGATATCTGTACAATAAAACAAGATGATGAAAGATGATTGTACACAAATGATACATTTTAGTTAGATAAGTAGTAGGTGAATACCAGTTTAAAATAAGTGAAAAACACCTTGCAAGGAAGTATGAAATTCGCTTCTTATAAACACCATTTTGACAACATTTCTTGTAAAATCTCAGCTCATAAGAGATATGAAGTAGTTTACACAATTTCTTACTGCGAAATTTAACAATTCACAGTCAGTTACAATGATGATTTTGTCTGTTTATAGATTTTACGTCGTGAAGTTCCAGACGGTTTTTCTAAAGTGCCTTTAAATATTTTCATGCTTTAAATGTTGCTTAGTTTATCCTTCTCCCCCTGAGTTTTTGCATCAACCAACAATGGGTTTGATAACAACTATATCAATCCTGTTAATCACCATCAGTTTACTGTACTTGGTGTTATTCTAGTGGATGAAATTTTCATAACATGGAGTGAGTTTATGAATTATATCATCACAATCTCCTGTCAACTGATTTTACAGATCATTTTCTACTCGACTGATATCCTAATGGTTGGTTTGAGGTTTTAAACCAGGCGTATTTCTCCACTTAATAACGGTTCTTATTCAATGTTTCTCGCTAACGTGCAATTCACTCAAACAGCAGATCTCCATTTTGACCTATATTGTAACATTTGACCATGTTAATGAATGACAGTATTTTATATGATCTGAATAGTTTCATATGAAGATGTAGCACAAGCTGCAATGTACCGAATCTCAAAAGCTGAGTAACTGACAGATTTTATCTGCTCCTTATCACACAGCACTGCATCCGAGTAAATTTACACAAAAATAAGTTCTGTTATGTCTGTTTATGAACAGCTATGGTTAACTATGCTTTCCTTTTAGCTCTAGTCATTATCTTCTGATTTTCATCAATTTGTTCAACTTTTCCACTGAGACAGTGTAATAAATGTTTACTAATGTTTTTCATCATTCTCAAATGTTAACAAATCATGCAACGTTTCTTCTGTCAAGTATTTGCCTTTTGTTATTACCTGAGAAGTAAAACGTTCCAGATCTCACTAAACTTAGTTCCGCTTTGAATTGCTTCCATAAGATTAACCTGTCTGAGTAAATATTTTAAGCATTTTAGATGGCATTGTATATCCTCAAGCCCAAGTGATGAACTGATCTTCTATTAGTTTCAAGTATTTTCAAAATAATCGGTTTTAAAAAATAACAATACTCATGAAAAATAAATGAATTTGACTTTTGATCAAAGTTGGGAAAATATCTTTTTCTTAAAGATATATTGTGAGACTTTCTTATCGTTCCATTCAACTCAATATCATAAAAGACTTTTCACCTTGGGATGATCATTGGAATAAGGTCAATGTTTGTATGAAGCACTATTTGTTAATATTTATTTACAAAAGAGACATCTGTAATTCACTCGTCTTTGTTTGATGCTTAGTATTTCTAGGTCAAGATATTCTCATATGAAAGAAGAATAAGTATTGAAGTTAATTAGAAGTATAGGTAAAGTTTTCTAAGTTTATAGAATGACTTGTTTATCTATTTTTAAAGAAGGGTACTCCAAGTTTATGCACGCCTAAAATCAACTTGTTCTCTATCGATAGCAAGGTACACATTCTAATGAAAATTTATTACTTATTACTTTCGACACAAGGCTTGGAAACAATAAGTAGCATAAATAAATGACTAGATATTCAATTTGGAGGATTGTGGGGATTTTATTGATTGATTTCAAGTTTGTATTTATCATGGACTGACATCAGTTGGATAAACATTAAAAACCTGAAAGTTGTGGACAGCTGTTTCGACCTAGTATGGAACCCTTCAATAGTGTGCACTAATGGTTCCATCATGGATCAAACCCAAATCGGATTTGAGGACAGATACTCAACGATTGCATTGGATGGAGATCGCAGTATGTTGTGAACTGACAGAATCAAGAAATATGGACCACTGGATTTCTACCCAGCAGCTCAATTGTAACGTGCTGACAACAGGGTCTGAAGGTCCTTGGCTCGATCCCCAGTGGTATCGTGCGTATACACTGCTGAGGAGTCCCATACTAAAACGAAACAGCTGTCGAGTGCTTCCAGGTTTCTATTGTTTCTCCAACTGATGTCAGCCCATGATGAATACCGATCTGGAATAACAAGACAGTTCATGGATTATATCACTGAGGTTTTGAAAGCAAAGATAAGCTTTGAATTGGTTTTTGAAGCGACCAGTGATTATCTGTTAAGTCTGTAGAAATCCAACTGCTATTTTACAAACGAGACTAGTGTTTTGACACTTGAGATTTTCAGATAATGAGATAATTTGCGTGATTTTGAACTAAGTAGAGATCATGAATTTCCTGAACGTCTGTTTTACGTGTCATTCTTGCATAAATATGAAGAGTATGAATTATAGTGAACCATATTCAGTGAAATGAAGATTGCAGTAGCACAATACACACTGTAAAGTTTAAACATGTTCCAAGGCAACTCGCTTTTAAGATGCTTCTGGTTTTTCTTTGATCAAATCTATCGTAACCAGATGAGTGTTCAGTTTTATGCAGCGCTGGAAAATCGCTGTTTTTTCTCAACTCACCTTGTTTCGGTACTCAATAAAAACATTAGCAAGTATTTCGATTATAGGAGTTAATGAATTCTGTTGCCATCTACTTAATACTTCACAATGTTCACAGTGTTTTCAACCTACTAGTGGTTAATGTTTTAACCATTTTTTTTAAAAATGGTGAATTATCAAATCACATTTATATTACTTTAATGATGATCAGTAGTTGAAAACTTCGATTTTTTAAATCTCAAATTCTCAGTTGCTTTATGCCTGATCGAGAATGCTTAAACTCATTCATATACTGATATCTCCAAATAACAAAGCACGAAAACACAGTTCCGATGCTAGTGGAAACGTTATCCACTTGTTCTGTCTATCAGAATACCAGAGAATTACAAAATGAGCGAGAACAACCAGAGGAGAATAATATGGATACATTTTATTATTTTGGTAGTTTATAAAGGGAAATATGTGTGTTTCATCACAAATGAGTGATCATACCCCAAATGCCTTAAATTTTTTTTCACTAAAAAGTAATAGTTGAGCGGTTAAGTTTTTGGTCACCCATTATTTATTTCGCAAACACACAACAGCAACAATAACCAGATTAAGTACTTAACTCTCTTATCATCAGAATTTCGGAGTGGTAAAGATTTGGTTTGATTTTATGCAATTTTGGCTAGCCTGACTAGAGGAAAATAAAACATGAAATTACAATTAAGTCTTAATGTACCACCTTTATACTTTTTAGGTTTAAGAAAAACAATGAAAAAATTAATACATTCATTGATAAAATTCAGCGAGATATTATTTTGTATGACCCATAAAATGAAAACTCCTCACTTGTGTTTTTCCACAAACTCTCAGTTGTTACAGACGAAAACATATCACAAACAGGAAATAATAGACAATTCATACACTCTGAAAAGCAAAATGATGTACGCTTTTCGTGCTAAACAAAAACAGAAAGTGTAAAAGAAAGCTAAGCCCAATCTCTACTCCTACTACTAATAATAACAATAATTGCTTCTCTAATAATTCCACTTCGAATAATTGTACAACTTGTAAACTAAGCGATATAAGTGTTTGATTGTTTTTCGTGGTTATCTGCCTACTTTTCTGCTAAAAGAAATTACTTTTTCTAAATGGAATTTTCATGTTTACGATAAGCTTAAAGGAAAATGATAAGAGAAGAGTAGAAAGAAGGTGAAAGGGAAATTGGATTTTGCCTCTTCTTGTTCTACGTATAACTTTTTTAACGTTAAAGAATTGAATTGAAAAATCTAAATTCACATCACTCAGCGATATCATTTCAAAGAAAAGAATATATATACATTCCTTTGTAGAAACCTTGATTGTGCTAAGAATAATCCGTACTATGTAGACAAATTAATAGCGTAGGTAATAAAGGTTAGATGATGGAGGTTAATATTTTAACCCACAAGTGTACTATCTACAGCACACTTGTAGCAGTTGCAAAACAGCAGTTAGCCACTGGTTCGATTTCATTGCGGTTTTATTACAAAATAATAAAATCTTTCAGTTACTGTTGTCTATCATCAAATGTTCTATTCTTGCCTCATTGTCTTTGTCTGCTGCATGAATGGCTCCAAGCAATTCCATAAAACACTCTAATAGGCTAAAAATGATGACAGGATCTAAATGATTTCTCTTATCACAGTAAAATCGTAGAGGGAACCTGATTTTCTCGAAACTGAAGATAAATCCCAATTTTTGACAATTATATAAGAAATTCTTTATTGTAAAGCTAATTGTGAAATTTTCCCCAAACCTTTTTATTTAAAATGACCGATAAATGAACAAGGCAACAAGTATGAAAACAATACAAAGGCAAAAAGATTAAAACAAACCCACAAGTTGAAATCACTTCATTTAAGGTGACGAGTTTTATACACTTATGGGAAGAACTCATATCCACATGTGATAGCACCTCACTGGGCTTCAAAACGTTTACAATAAATGCTTGCGATGACAGAAATTGCATGTTAATATACTGTTATATTTCCATTAGACAAACAGTTATAAGAAGAGCCTTGGTAACCCGTTTGCTCATGAAGACAGAAGCTATGTTAATGATACACTTGTCGATCGGCTTTCATCTTTAGGATTTCCATTCTGAAAATTAGTTTAGATATCAGAGTAAGTTATTAAGTTAATACTCCAAGTTTTTATATCGCTTCTATATTCTGTTTGCAGCACAAAACGTATGTCTGGGACTTCCTGCATCGCCGAAGTGAGTCTACTACCTTAGCAGCCACATAACAAAATTAATAATAATATTCGATTGGCGCTCAGGATTGGACAACATAAAGTAGATTACCTTCCAGTGAATAATTAATGCAACGAAAAGGTTCTATTCTAGAACTTATTACTTGACATTTACCTGCTGAAATATTTTCGGCTA